TAAAGCCTCCAAATTGTAAGAATGAACTCCTGTTTGTTAAGGCCATCCCATTTGTGGTATATTCTTGTCAGAGCGGCACTAGGGAACCAGGACACCAAGGCAGAAATCTTTATGTACGCAGAGTGCCTCATCTTTCCTTTGGCGTGGCTGGTGGTTTGAACTGCTGACCTTGGGGTTAGCAGCCGAGCACTAATCCCTGCACCACCAGGGCTCCCTCCGCGAGCCCTGTAAACTCACTGCCGTTGAGTAGGCTCCAACTCATAGTAACCCCTCCCTGGGTTTCTGAGGCGGTGTCACTACAGCAGTAGATGCCCAGCCTTCCCTCCAAGGAGGCAACCACTCACGTCTATCTCTGTGCGTCTGTCTGTGCTGGACATTGCACAGACGGAACCACACACGGTGTGACCTTTTGTGTCCGATGCCTTTCACTTAGCATGTTTCCAAGGATCATGCATGTTGTAGCATGTATCGACATCATGCCCTTTTTTGTTGTTTTATGTTTTTTAAACAGCTCTATGGGTGTGCAGTTCACATACACGGTTCCCCTACTTTAAGGGTCCAGTTCACTGGCTCTCAGTGTGTTCACTGCCTGTGCAGCCATCACCACAGGCAGCGTTAGACCACATTCGTCACGCCTCGTTTTCAGGACACTCCAAAGCCCTCTTGTTCTCAACCCTTCCCCTGGCCTCCCCACCCTCAGCAACCTTTGCTCTTTGTACCAAAAACCCAGACCCACGGCCGTCAAGTCGATTCTGACTCATAGCGACACCCGTTGGGTTTCCAAGGCTGTAAGTCTTTACGGAGGTAGATTGCCTCATCTTCTTCCTGCAGAGCGACTGGTGGGTTTGAACTGCCGACCTATAGTTTGGTCTATTTTGTATAAATGGAATCATACAGTGTGATTTGTGGCTGGCTTTCTTCCACTTGGCGTCACGTGTCCATGGTTCATCCATGTTGTGGCATCTGTCAGGACTCCATTCCTTTTTTTACAGCTGAGTAATATTCCATCGGGAGCTCTGGTGGCAGTGCCTAAGGCATTGACTGCTAATCAGAAGGCTGCTGGTTCAAACCCATCAGCCACTCCTCAGAAGGAAGATGGGGCAACCTACTTCCGTAGTGATACTGCCGCGGAAATCCAAGGAGGGGTCACTGTGAGTCAGGTCTGACTCAACGGCAGTGAGTTTCCTTTGATTTAATACTCTATCAGGGAACCCTGATGGCACTTTGGTTACAGGGCTCAGCTGTGAAACAAAGTGTCCGCAATTCTACCCCGCCAGCTGCTGCGCAGGAGAAAGATGAGCCAGTCAGCTTGCCTAAAGATTGACAGCCTTGGAGACCCTGCGGGCAGTTCCACTCTGTCCTCTAGGGGCGCTGTGGGTCAGAATGGACTCCATGGCAGTGGGTGTGGTTTGGGCTTTGCTTCTGTGAAGACTGACAGCCTTGGAGACCCTGTGGGCAGTTCCACTCTGTCCTCTAGGGGCGCTGTGGGTC